CACTAGTTAATTTGGATTGTATTACATATATATATATATATATATATATATATTATAAGTGTTTCTGTTAATGTGTTGTTTTTTAAAGATTTTGAAGACTATCAAAATTAATCATTTGGAGGTAAAAATGACAATGTCTCAAATGTTTATTTAAACATTATACTAATGCTAATCACAAGTCCTCAAAATATACTTAAGTAAAGCTACAGATATATTATCAGCAAAATGTTAATAAAAAGTAAAAGCACTTATAACACAATGACTGATTTCAGAGTGCTATATATTATATTATTTGAATATTGCTGATGAACATGGAGACAGCATTTTAGGGCTGTAGCCAGTTGAGTTGCTTGTTTGGTAGTTTAATAGATAACACTGCATCATATCTATGAGCTCATCATATAGTTAATGAGAAATTTCAATCTGTAAAAGTAATTATAGATGTCAGATAAAGACTGTGGATTTAAGAGTACCATACAGTTGTTGAGTTGAATTGTTAAGAAGTGGAAATAGGCTTATTTACAGTACCTCAAAACTGTACGCACAATGCTTGAGTAAATGTACTTTGTTGATTTTCATCACTTTCATAGCAAGCAGGATGCTGAGTGACACCATGAGGCAGAAATGGCTGCCCTGCTGTTTCTATATCTTGATTGAATTTAAGTTCATTATAGTCATACTAAATGCTTAAGTAATATGGAAAGCAAATATATTCAAACTCAGTAATATCCTACTGGATTTTTTTATTTATTTTTTTATCAGACATAGGTTTTTTCCTTGATGAACTGAATTACTGGCGCTGTAATTAATTAATTGGCTCCAAGTTGTTCATTTGACTGAGTAATTTATTCACTTTTAATTGAAATTCCACAAAAGAGATTTTTGTTAATTGACTTCCTGAGTGATGAGTTGTTAAGTGGTCTGCCTCTGGTCTTTCTAGTATTTTTGTAATAAGGAAATGTCCTGAGTATTTACATGTCAGCAGGGTTTCGACCGGCATTTAAACATTAAATACTTAATTTCTGAGAGTGCCTTCCTTTTAAAGATGTATTTTGTTTTTGAGATAGTTTGGAGATGGTTAATCTTGATTTATTCACTTAAATTTAATTTGAGACATTTGATATGCATTAGAGAGACAAAAAAGAACAAACTGCCTCACAATAGTCATATTGATAATAATCTGTAATCAATTTGCTGGGGACCACCTTGGTCCTCTTCAAAAGGCCCCTTCTCGGTCCTCCGACCCTAGCTTGGGATACCCCACCCGGAAGTGGGTGGTGGAGTCACCGTCACCCAACCAGTCACACCACCGTCGACATACTGCCTGCTGGGATGAAGCTCGCCACCGGAGAACTACAGAGATTGTTACAAATCTGAGATCTCTCGCAGTCTCGGCGATAACGATCGGTTACCATTATATTCAGTTTCCAGGAGAAGGGAGCAAAGAGGCGCGTTGCCAAAATGATGGAAGAAATCGACAGATTTCAAGTGCCGAGTGCCGTACAGGAGGCGGAGATGCAGGCTGAGATGCAGCCGCTGGTAAGTCAGATTTGTTGGCTGCTATATGTTGGATGATCGATCAGTGTTTTGGTATTGTTTTCTTATTTAAAATGATATTATTACTCCAGGATGTTCAGTGTATGAGGCCTGCCATTCATGATGTTATGCTTTGGGATCCCAACAAATCCATCACCTGCCATGCGTAATATTGGCTCATGTAGCCTACCAATAGAGTATTTACATTAAGTTTTTTTTTTTTTTTGCTATCAACAAACACTTAAACAGTAAAACAGCGGTGTAACCAATCAGGGGATAACTCATTTGCCCATATACTGGCGTTTCTGCTCCTATGTGTAAAACAAGCAGCGTCCGGTCTGCTGCGTAGTGAGCAGCATCCGTCATGTCTGGCGAAAACAAGCATCCCATCCCAACACTGCTGCTACATCCTCAGCATCCATGCAGCAAGTTGCCCCGGCTTCGACGCCACTTGTATGGCCTTACCGGGATTAATAAACGGCTCTTAATCTCGAATATATTCTCATATATCCCACTAAACCACCGTCTTTTGATTAAAAAACAGTATAAATGAGTTGGCGGTGCGCTCCGTGGCCTGTAGCGGGGCCCTGGGTTACTGCAGCCTGCAGGGCGGCCTCTGCTGCCCACGGCCGGGGCCGCCAGAGAGCCAGACTAGACCCTGAGCAGTCTGACCTGCTGTCTCCAGGCGTCCACATACATCCCCCTGCCTTGTGTAACGTATTTTTCCTCCTAAACTTTGCCCTGTGAGTAGAGGATCTATTTTTTAGGAGAAGTTTCTAAATTGAGATCTAGGAACCAAAGGATCCCAGAGTTACTGGAATAAATCAAGTTCAAACTTTTGCATTTACTTAAAATTTGTTCAAATGAGAAAGTGTAAGAGCTATTTTTATTCAGTTTCAATCTCTGCCTTATGGGTTGGAGGTAACAAAACCTAACTTGTTTTAAAAGGATTCTTTCTCAGTTCTCAAGCAGTATGTGTGTGAAGGTATAAATATTTTTCAGAGAAATTATCCACATAACACTTTATAAACTGGCATTCATTTTATAGAGAGGGACACTTTCCTCACGTTTTATCTCTTTATGAACTGTTTATTCACATTGTCTGGGCATAGAAGGGTCTATTATGCATTACAAAAAGACGTAAATTATTCATCAAGCCCTCAGTAATGCACATTTCTGCTCATCGTTCTGTCCATGCCATCTTCCTATTTGCCTCCAGGACCCGGCCTCGTCCACAGCCTCAGAGGCAGACTCAGACACCAGAGAGGGAGAACCTGTCACTATCAACTACAAGCCCTCACCCCTGCAGATGAAAATAGGTGAGTAAGAGCTTCAGTATTTGTAGGCCAAGTCTCTGCCTGTGGGAATCAGCATATCCTGTAATCGGCTGTAAATTCGATGTCCTGAAAAGACTGTTGATGCGGCATAATCTCTAGACAAGACAGAGATACGAGGGGAATCAGTTTTCATAGAAGCACAAGGCAAACTTTAGAATAAATCCACTAACTATTTAGTCTATAATATGTTACAGAATGGTGAAAAATGCCAATCAAAAGTTCTCAGAGTAAAGGGTTACCAATGTGATGCCTTCAAATTGCTTTTTTTCACCTCAATAACAGTCCCCATACAACAAAAGGTTTTGCTGATTACTATCAAATAATCGATTAATAGATTAATAGTTTCAGCTCAAATCCATTTTATTTTTTGGCTCATGGATATCTGTGGAAAAATTAGCCTGTCTGGCCTTTTTAGTTGGAAAAATTGAGTCTCTTCTGTTTATGAAAAGCTAGTCCTTAAAGTGTCATTTCAGCACCTTGGACAGAGTCCAGTGGTTCGTAGCAGCACTTCTTTATTTTACCTGCCATCTCCTGCCATAATAGTTTCCTAGCTAAAGCCTTTAAGAACCATGAATATTCAAAAAAAAGAAAACTATTAAGTGATAGAGATGCCTATAAAGGGTCCTTTTAAAATGTAACTCCACCTACATGACAGCAACAGCCACTTTAGAATTTCATTTCATTTTTCATCCATGCCGTTTGTTGAAAGTGAGACCATAATGATGACTACAGTTGTACTTCGTTGAATCTTACTGGTTGTTCAGTCTTTTTCTGACTTGTAAACACTTTCAAAAAAATTCCTATCTTTAAAACAGAGCATATCCCTTTAATTATGCATGCTTGTTACACTAGTCACTTTGCCTTTGTGACCTTGAGATGGGAAAGTACATTTGATAGCCTTTTAAAACTGTTTTCTGGGTTAAAACTGTAGTATATATACATTTTCTAGTGCTAGTCCTGCTTTTCACAACAGGTCTCTGATGCATTATACTTTAGGTCATGGTTGGCTCAGACTCTCAGACTAGACTAACAGCATTTATGACATCATTTAAATCATCAACATCATGTATGATCTGATCACTGATTAGAATCAAACACACGGGAAAAGGCAAGAGGGTTTGATTTCACATTAGAATTCTGTTGTTTCTGAATTGTGCTTTTCGGATTTTAATCACATCAAACACTGCTCACTGTGTAAATTGTGGACACTGATCAGCCCTGATGTCACGTTCAGAAAGAAAGGATGTCATGGTCTTCTCAAAGTGAAAACTGACTTTGAGTAGAAATAAACCCAATTGGATTCCCCGATCATCCCACTTCCTGATGTGTGTCTGTTTAAATTATACTGATTTCTTCTTTCGCAAATCTTAAAACCTGAGCAGGCTTTCACAGAGTTTATAATGTGACAAAATGACATGCAGCTTAAAGTCAAGAAGTATGTTTGTCGTACATCATATTGTCTCTCAGCAATGCCATGCTGTCACATCAGCAAATTTTAAAAGTTTCCTGGTTTATTTAAGAATTGTCTTATAAGCAAAATTACAGCATTTAAGTAGATGACATTAGTTCAACCTTATTCCATCATGTTTTGTGCCACTCAGGTGTCATTTCAAGCTGAACTGATGTGTGTGTTCCTGTGTCTGTGAATGTTGTGCAGAGAAACAGAGAGAGCTTGCTAGGAAGGGCTCGTTGAAGAACAGCAACACAGTAGGTAGTCCAGTCAACCAGCAGCCCAAGAAGAACAATGTCATGGCCAGAACACGGTAAGGAGTGAGCGCTGTGGTATTTGGTTAGTGGAGAAAATGAGACCTCCATCTTCTGTTGGTTGATGGTGTCGTTCCGAGAGATGACAGTAATTAAAATAGATTATGTTTTTGTGATAAATTCAACTTGAGTCGTTATACAGCTAAATGATTCAGTTAGCTGAAGTTTTTGTGTATATAAATTTTCATGTGCAATATCCAAAACATGTTTGAATGGACTTGAATAGATGGATTTTATTCATGTATCCATTTCTTTTCTCTGCGAGTAGGGCTCTAAAGAAAAATTGTCTTATTGATTCAGGCTTTGTAAGATGACCGAGGAATTAAACCTCATACCTCTGTTGTTATTCAGTTCATCTGTGATACTGTCTCCAGGTGCACTTTGCTTTTCTTTCATCATCTCTGCTAGTCCTTACTCACCCCTTCCTGTTCGTGAATTTATATTCCTTCCTCCACCTCTTCTTCTGTTACATGCTATTTCTGCTCCAATGATCATTTCTCCTCTGTCCTCTGTCTCTCTCTGTGTTCCCTCCCCACAGGTTGGTAGTGCCCAATAAAGGCTATTCCTCTTTAGACCAGAGCCCAGATGAGAAGCCCTTGGTGGCCCTAGACACAGACAGGTGAACATCCACACACTCATAAATATACTTCTTGCCTCCCTTTTTTACTAGAGAAACACATAAACACACAAACAAGCTAACTTGTGTTTTTTTTTCCCAGTGATGATGATTTTGACATGTCTAGATACTCATCGTCGGGATACTCCTCTGCTGAGGTGAGATGTGTTATAGTGCAGATATGTATCTGCACTCTGCTGCATTACTTCACATTTGCTCTCTCATTCATTTCATCCATTTTCCATCCTCCCTCCATTTTCCATGACTGTCAAGAAGCCAAGAGTCAGGATTTTATAAGCTAAGTCTTGAAGAAAGCCCATTTTTAGCCATGTTAATTCTGTAGGCCCGTGCTCTCCCTGCAAGTGTATGATTACACTGCAGACGCACTTGTACACAAACATATGAGCAACAAAGCTGGAAACAAATGAAATTTAATCTCTGAGTGTCTGCTCCTGCAAATGTTTTCAGCACTGCTGCAAATATAAGAGCTAATCACAGATACATGGTCAAATTTATTCCCTAAAGGAATTCTCGTTCCCACCCTCAACATCAGTTTTCTGTCCCTGACAAGTCCATGCTCGAGGATATATTGTAGGTTATATTTACAAGCCCACAGGTGTTCAGATCTTATTTAGTTTTTGGAAATAATTATCTAATTAACAGCAAATGTAACCCACTTTAGCCATTCGCTCCTATTTCTTAGTACAAGCTAACAACAGCAAGTTGTGAGTTGTTGTGTTGTGGCTTAACAAAGTAGAGAATTATGGTTATTGTTTATGAAGTACATTACAGTATACAGTTTATCTACTTGTCTACTGAGAGTTTACATAAAAATGTAAATGCTGGGATTTAAAGTGAAGACATTGCTTCTGTTTTGTATGCAAACAAAAGTTTTTTTTGCTAAAAAGAAAAAACAATCACACTAGGACAGTCACCCCGTTCATGACAAAGTTCACACCCATCTGTGAAAATGCCATAACTCTCTTTGCCATGGTTACCATTGTTAGCTTTAAGCCAGTCTGTTATAAGCTTAATATCTGTATGTTGTACATCATACATTGTCTCTGTTCTCATGAAACTCAAGACAAGTCATTTACTTCAGCAGGTGAATTTCTTTTTTCATGTAGGTCTTGGTAAATGAAGACTTTCAAATCCACAGATCCAAGATCTAATCACAAATGATGCATCTCATTACAATCAGCACGCTTGATTTCTTACCTGTACCTTTAGATGTCTACCTGTCCTTGAGTGTCCAGCACTATTTTTACCCCCCTATAACCCACAAGTTACCAACCTTTATTGGCACTGTGAACCAGTGTTGTTGTAGTTGTTGTTGTGGACTCGTCAATGAGGTGGGGGTGGATTAGGATTAACATGAAGTTTGCAGTTTATATATTAAAACACACGCAAACGTTTTATGTCTCCCATACCTTCGCCAAAGAAACTCTTGAGGAAGCTACCCTTAAGTTTTGCTATTGCTACATAGTCAATGTTCGCATCGTCAGTTGTTTACTTACCAGTCTAGAAGAAAAGTTGTGAGTTCAGCATCAAACTTAATTCTTATGCGAGCCAAGAACTGTCTCCAGCGGTGAAAAGCAACGCAAACGTTAACTTTTGTCTATATCACGTTTTTTCTTCTACTGAAGTTAGCACGCTAACCAGCTAGCTCCTGCCCGTCTCGCCACCTTACCTTAATGGCTCTCTGTGGCGTCCAATCTGCCCCTTAGGCGTAGCACTGCTCGGAGGGCATATTATAACCTCTTGTATTATAAAGACGATGGCCGATCACCACTACCCGCTCCCAGCAAGAACCCACATTCAGCAAGAGAGAAAGCTTAAAAAATAACCTCTGTAAAGGTTTAGCTCAACATTTTGTCAATTACTGTATGGAAAGCCAAAAGGTTCATAATTCGTCTCAGTTTCCACGGCGCTTGACGTATTGTAAACGCCGTTTTGAGCGCCACCACGCGTTTAAAAACGCCGTTGTGATTAATAAGCGCCTGGCGACGCCTGGCGTAAATAGCACCAGGGGTCAATTAACATCACTAGACGTTTTGTAATTGAACTTCGCCAGGCGCTTTTTGAACGCCTGGTGGCGCTCAGAAGGGCGTTACTATACGTCAAGGGCCGTAGAAACTGAGACGAATTATGAACCTTTTGGCTTTCCATATTATTGGAGCAGTCGCCAGTCAACCAGTGGAGACTCCAGGAAGTTGCTGGTACCAGCTAAGCAATGTTTCAGCATGAGTCGATAGGCATGAGAGTGATATGAGCTTGTCATTTCATTAGGCTAATGCAACACATTTGCTACAGTAAGCATTGTTTCTTTGGCTCTTGCGTGTTATGTATGTATTTTGGGCGCGCGCGCACACAGACATTTCTTAATAACTCTCAACCTGACCCAAGTTCAAACAAAATGTGCAGAGGGTTAGCAAACCGTGCTCAGATCATGTAGCTAATGATGGACAGCTACCTCACAAACTGATGGCCTACTTTACTGTAATAAGTTGTGGGAGTAACAGGGAGTGAAACAGCGTGTTTTGTTATATTATAAGTATTCACCATTACCATTTTATGGCAGAATCATACCTTTTTCTTGTGGCCCAGTAGAAAATGCTTCTGGTCTCCTGGTCCTGAGCCCAGGGGTTGGGACACATTGCTGTAACCCATCAACCTCTTCTGTCTATTGTCCCTTCTCCAGCAAATCAACCAAGATCTGAACATCCAGCTGCTGAAAGATGGTTACCGCCTAGACGAGATCCCCGACGACGAGGACCTGGATCTGATCCCACCAAAATCAGTCAACCCTACCTGCATGTGCTGCCAGGCAACCTCCTCCACCACCTGTCAAATACAGTAACCCCGCCTCTCTGACCTTCTGCCCCGTACCCCATTCCACACAACATAACCCCTGATCTCCATCTGCTGTGAGTTTACTTCGCCGCCAGAGCAGCGACAGTGAAACATTGGTAGAATATTGTAATGACAGTTAAGTGCTATGATGATAATGACAATGACAAATAATCAAATTAACATATAGAAACTTTGGTTTAAAATCTAGGAGAAGGAAAATATGTGAAAAAGATTGAATATGTATTTAAAATATGATTAAAAGTGGTGGTTTCCTCCTATGGTAGGACGTGCACTTGTATTTGAGAGCCCTTCTCCTGGTGAACATGATGTAACTTAACACACTGATGTTAGTAGACAGAAAACAAGGGGTCAATTGATGCTGTAAAGTGATTTCAATTTCCCTGAAGAATAAGAAACATTATCATAACTGCTGACTCAACAGTTCCGCTTACCTGAATTTTGGGCTGCATTTTTGCATTTTTCTAGTTTTTTTTTAAGTTTTTATTTAAATGCTTACCTTTTTTAAACCTGAGGGATCAGAATGATTGTATGTGTTGATGTGGAAATATTTGAAAAGTGTGGACTGCGGTCTCGGTACCCCAAATAGAGGATATTTGGTACTGTATTCATTGTACTGTACAGGGTTGTTATGTAGCACATGCCAGGTCATTGCACTCATTCACACCACCTTCAACACTTGAGCTTTCTTTGCCCTTCTGGCTTGGATGTTTCATTACACAGTTTAGGGATGAATGTATAAACGTGAATGGCTGAGGAACAATTTGCATGAAGAGCACCAGACTGAATAACGGAATTGAATAAAATAAGCAAGTAGCTTGTTGCACATTTGATTTTTGCCCCATTTCTGTTGTGCAATCACATTCTACTGCTGTGGCACTAGCCTGATTTGTATTTTTTGGAATTTGCACATTTTGTTTTTTATTTTTCAGGCGCATATCTGTGTACTCTTTCCTGCATAGCAGTGACAGTGTCTTATCTGAAATGAACTGTGTCAAAAGGGAAGATCACGCATAATTGCACCAACCCTCTAACACATGATGCCCATGTCATCATGGCCAAAGGGACTGGAGGGGGGCTTTGGATTTTTTTCAGCACAGTTTGTTGTGTTACCCTACTCTATCTTTTCTCAGTCAGTGTCACAGAACCTGATCACTGGACACTCCCTCCTCCCCATTTCTATCTTAACACCACAGATCATTAAGGGAGCATACAGGTTCAGACAGAAAGATTTATCCTCTCTTCTCTCGCACAGACACACATGCACACACATGCACACACACAACACACACACACACACACACACACACACATACATGCATATGCATGCATACAGACATACAATGCCAAAATAAAGAGTGAGATGGCATCTATTTGTCTCTTTTGACTTATAGGTTGGAAATAGTTTTTTAATTGCAACATCAAGGATCACTGACTTCATTTATGATCCCCTCTCCCTTAAATCAGTTGATTATTTGCAATTGGAGTATGCCTTAAGTACAGAGAAGTTTAAAAGATGTGTATTTATTCCCATCTTGATAAATTAGTTTATTCGAAGAGCTTTTGCTGTCTAAAAAGTTATGCTTTTTTTACATTTAGACACGGGTGATTATGGTTTTTCTTTGGTTTTCCTTTTTTTTAAATGATTTTCTTGTATTGTAAACACTTCCATTCCAGTATTTAACAATGTTATTGTTATGTGCGGTGTATGAAAACAAATAAACACAAAGCTAATGGAGCGCTTCATGTTCTACCTTACTGTTTTGTTACACCTCTGCATTATATTATTAATTTGATATTAAAGAAGAGGATTTCTTTATTTAAGCTTCACGTTAATAGTGTCAGATATGGGTGTGTGATGTAGGAAAGAAGTAATGAGCACATATTTAGAAAGAAAAAATTATTTTAATGTTAAAACTTTTGAGCAGTAATTATTACACAGCTATGTATATTGCGATAACATGGGGTCTGTACTGACAGTCCCTGATTACAGTACAGTAACATCAGAAGTAAGGGCTCCGACCTGAAAGGCACCAACATCTAATCACAGTTGTCATAATGCCAGCAAAGAAAAACAGCGTTTCACTTTACAAATGTATGTAGTTTGTGTTCTAGGTTAACTAGACCTAACTTTACACTCTACCTGGATGTTTCAATGCATTATGTGGCAAGTATAAAAAGAAATCTAATGACATCATGACATGTTTCTGGCTACTGTAGTGGACGAATAAGACTTCTCATCCTATTAGTAATATTATAAAAGATTACCAGACAAATAAAAAATACATTGTACCAAACGAATACATACAAACATGCTACATGATGGAATTCATTGATTCACAAATAAACCAGTCACGAGAGTGTGCCTTAAAATGCTAAGACAGAAAATAAAAAAGGTTTTATGACTTTCTGTTGTGAGAAATGTTGTGCTTCCATGTCACCACCAGGGGGTGTAATATTAGTTGAAATGACCATGAATCACATTTTTCCCTGATAAAACTCAGTCCAGATATAGAGTAAACAAAAGTTAGTTTCAATGTACAGCAACTGGCACTGTTGGCATATATAAGAGACAGTCATTGATATTCAAAGTATTGAATATCAACATAAATAATCTGACAATGTTCGTTCACGTAGTATTTCCAAAGGTTGAAAATGTAGAAATTTCTCTCTGCTACAAAACCCTTAAAAGGCACAGACATTCCTGTTTACAGTTTGCACACTTTTACTAAACATTAATCACTGTGGTCTTAACACAAAAGTGAAAAAGTCAAGTTTCCACTTAAGCTTTTCAAGGCTTTACCCTGTTATGTTTCCTGTACTACTGACACAATGCAAGCCTGAAAGAGGAACCCAAAAGATGAACTTTCTTTATGCATGAGGTTTGCTTATATATTATGGTCTTGTTGTAAGTATTGTAAAGGTGTTTTGGTACAATTATTTGCAAGTTCATCATCATGTGACAACATTTATGTTTCAACACAGGAAACACACTGCCTATACCTACAAGCTCACAGTATACCTGATTTACTAAGTCCATAGCCAAATGTATGAAATTAAATATCCAAGCTCTGTAATTCTCTATATTATAGCTTTGTCTTATTACTCTCTAATAACACTTAACTACAGTATAATGAGTATATCATCCATTTGAAATGTGGTATGTATAATCTATTTACATGATAATACTACTATACTGTACATTTGCCTTGTTCCGGACTGAAGAATAATTGTACAAGTGGAAGTATGTGTTTATGTGTGCAATAATAACATTCACTGAAGGACTATTCCCAAAACATTTTGACACACTGGGAACATCTCAGTCGCAAGATTTTGTTTCTTCATCTGCAAAAGTCTGTAATGCAAAGTGAAGACACATAGTGGTTATGAAAACTATATATGTACATGAATACCACTTGGATGGCAGATTCTTCCACGAAAACACATCACACAACACAAATTAAAATAATTACAAATGTCAAAACAACTACACCTGTCTGGCAGACCCTGAATAACCCTAAATAAATACCAGTCACCTCAGGGAAGAAGAGGGTGAAGCTCTAGTTTGATTACAGTCAGGTTCAAAATGTTTTTTTTTTTGCTGTTGCCCAATGTTACATGCGTAGCAGAAAACCTCTCTGAATAGTGGCCTGGCTGGTTGGGTTGTCTGGCTTGAAGGAATTTGCATGTAAGTGTGCACACCACACGTGTGAGTGTGTCCATGTTTGTGTAAGCCTCTGTATCTACTACATGTACCATTATGTATATATGTACAGTATATACTACAGTAATTAACAATGCTGGGTGTAACTCACACCCCTGCAGGGCTTTGGTCACCAGAATCAGAGGACACAGACAGGGAGCAGCGGCGTCTCTTAGCCGCACTGGAGCCCTGGAGCATGCTGGGATGGAAGCCTGCATGTCGCCGGGCATGTTTAGTCAGGTGGTCGCTCCTCATGAAGCACTTGTCACACATTGGACAGTTGAAGCGCTTCTCACCCGTGTGTGTACGATAGTGACGTGTCAGTTCATCTGATCGGGAGAACTTCTTGCCACACTCGGACCAGGTACACTCGAAGGGGCGCTCACCTGAGGAAACACACACACACACACAAACACACACACATACACACACACACACACACACACAGGTTTTGTATTACCACACACAGACCCCACTGGTATATGTGTAAATAAATAAATAACTGTTTTTTTCTTTTCTTCTAACCTTTTCAAAACCCATTATGGAGAAAACTGTTCAAATGGTAACTTCTTCTTTTAACAGCAAAGTCTAATAATAAAAAGTCCATAACATTTTTTTACAGCTGCGTCAAACAGAGATAATGCATCATTTTTTATGTCTGAATCATGTCGTCATTTCAAAAGTCTCAAGATGAAAAAAGAAGAAAACAATGTCAAATATGTTTTTTTAAGTGTTAAAATGAGACTGGGATTGGCAACCCCAAAGAATACATTAGGGTTACCCATGAGTGCACATCTAAGCTATAACCTTCACTCTAAACTAATCCTAATAATCATTTGCATTCAATACTGTAATTACCTTGAAACAGGGAGGGCTGGCAATAAGATAAACAGATACAAAATTAACCAAGTGAACATAAGATGAGGGCAAAGTACAGATCCAAAACTTTTTTTTGTCTGAGGCAAATCAAATGGGAATGCCTGCATAGACACTTTTTTATGGGAACAATAACAGAACATATTGATTTAAAAATGGTGAGTCATGATAAGAGCCTCGTGAATTAAAAAAAAGCACAAAAAGAAAAAAAACGATGGTTACCCCCACCCCCATCTTCTCCTCCTCCACGTGCTCTATTGAACCACATGTCTGCTCTTGTTTACAACCCGAAGTGAGGCGGTGGAGGGGGATGACGTATGAGGAAATAGTGGTGCAGGGAGGGTTACCTCGGGATAAGAACGTGTGGGGACAACAGTGTCGCAGTGACCTGCATGTGAATCATAAGCCAATATGTCGGTGTTTACTACACTGTCAATCGCTGTTATTACAACACATATGATATACATTACCACAAAACAGCTGCATCTCTTATATGATAACCAGCGATGAAAAACAATCATTTGAGTCATTATTCGGATAACATCATGCGGCACGCGGTGTTCCCAGCTCGCAGGGTGCGTGTCAATAGCACATTAAAGAACAACCCCCGCCCCTCCCCCATCCCACATTCGCCCCGGTCAGTCACACCCCCAGTAGGGACAAATTCATGGGACCACCTTTCTTATAATCTGTTATTCATTAGCAAGAACATGTGGCCTCTCATGTCACATTACACACACAACACGGGCTGTAGGCTTGGTCTTTAAGATCATCATATTTATATCACATTCTTAAGTATCAAATCATGACTTTATAATGACATCATCATAGCAGCTTTAATGTCTTACAGTAATTCTTAAATGTTCACAGACTGCTATGTCACTCATCTTCGTCAACATATTCGATGTCCTAGAAATAGCCAATAGAATTTTAACAGTGATGTCAACATGCGTCTGAAATTAAAAATAATGGCAGAAGTGACGCAGAGCGGTTTCGCTGTCGTCAACTGAACCGAGCCCATTAGTTTCGTAGGCGTGTCTCCCAAGTTGCCAAGCAGAGCCTCCACTTACCGGTATGGACCCTTAAGTGGGCTTTGAGGTGGGACGACTTGCCGTACATCTTCCCACAGCCGGCAAAGGGGCAGGAGTGCTTCTTCTCAGGGGACTCCTGTCTCCTTACCACTGCCACTGCCGCCTTCTTGTTCCGGGACTGTTTAGTTCCCACCGGGCCCCGGCTGTCCCCGGCGTTCAATCGGCAACTCCCCCGCTCCACCTTCTCCTGCGTGCCGGTGTCGCTGCCCCCGAGACATCTGCTGGCCCCAGTGCTGATAACATTGGGATTGCATTTGTTCAAGTCCAATAAAATCATTGCCACCATCAGCAAAGTCCTGTTCTCCTGGTTCTCTTTCAACGTGTCCTCTGTCCGCCCCGGTGGTCGGCTGGGGACAAACTCTGAAGAGACGTCAACCTCCGACATCACTGTAGCAGATCCGGATGGAGAAAAGAAACTATCGAGAGTATCTATACACTGTATAAAACAATCCGACAAAACGGATGCAATGAAGTGATCAGACCGCAGTCCTTCCCGAAAACATGTGGTTAACCATCCACACGTGTCGTCTTCAATGTGACTATTCCGCAAAGGCTGCGTTTTCTTGTTGAGGTTACAGGGCGGATAAATAAACACCCCCTCTTGAAAGATACCAGTTTAAATTGCCTCCCGGCTTTTCTCCAACTCCTTCTAGAACCCTTTTCTTCTGAATGACGAATCAATAAAACTCTGCGTTTACCGACTGAGCTATTGTGTCTGCGTTTATCAGCGCTCCCACACATGCGTCAACTTGTCCTATTTTACTGCGAGCAGCACTTCTCCCAACTCCAAGAAACAATTTCGCGGAATCCCGCGGTGTCATAATAAAACAGGGCTGTGGTTGGCTGACAGGAAACGTGACTTGTTTTTTGGAATCGCCTATACACAGGAGTGAGTGATGGGACAATTGACCAATCACAGACATAAAAAGGGCTGATCCAGGAGGATGCTGCCTTCAAGTAGTTGACGTGATCGGGAAAAAAGAGTACCTTCAAAAAAAAAAAAAAAAAAAAAAAAAATTCAGAATAAATGTTTAGAAAAGTTCATCTAAAATATGAATATGTTTTTTTAATCATTAGATTTTAATTACATTCACAGTTTGAGATAAAGATGGAAAACAGAACAGTGTGTGTTTGATTATAATTGAAACTCTACATCTAGTTTAGTGACGTATTTGCAAATTGATGTTAAAAACAGTAGACTACCACTCAAAAGTTTGGACACACTTTGAAAGTGTGTCCAAACTACATCAAACATCATCCCACTCATTATCAGAAATTTCCCCCTTTCCTTTTGGAACAACTGGTTTAGAGTTGTAGTTTTATTTGCAAATCGTTTATTGAGATTTTCTTGATTTGATGCCACAAATGGAAGTGAAAAAAAGTTATGAGCTGTTTATTGATCGTATAACGAGGAAGGAAAGATATTCGTGTCTATTTCACATGTTTTACTGTGTATATTTTGTCCTATTCATTCTCCCACAATATTTCAAAGCATATATGTTTCTTTATGGCTTAAAGGCTCCTGTTATCGGGCACATTTGCTATCATAGACAATCCTATTTTCGACGTGCTAAAGAGGCACTCGAATGCAACATTACAACAGGGTGCTTTAGGCACATAACCACATCACGCCCCCAATCCCACGCTGTTGCCTAAAACGTTTTATGCTAGAGAGGACAGCATGTCGTGGAAGCCTATTTATTTTATAGTTCACATATGTTTCAGTGTCATATTTGTACAGTCACTTGCAAGGGGTTGAAATAGTGCATTCACTCTTCGTTTGATCCAACATAAGCACGATTATGCAGGTTTGCACGGAATGAACATTCATTTTGTTCGAGAGAAAAATAAGAAACGATAGCCTTCAGGGTTGCTCAAAAGTAGCATGTACACATGCATGTCCCTCACTCAGCTGCCACACTTAACATTTTTAATGATAACGACAAATTATATGCATTGCTACATCATGTCACTGGCTGTGCGGTCCAATAGATTCCTTGTGACTTTGCATTTACAGGCCGCAGCTCAATGTTTGGATGACAACCTGCAAGACGCGGAGCCAGTGGACGCTGCTGTTACTGAATGTCCCGCCTACAGCTCCTAACCTAGTTGCTCTGCTGTCGTCAGTGAAGGTAAAAGCGTGCAAGCAGTTCACGTTTAAGGCAAAGGTATGTAATGAAGCAGCTGTTATTCACAGCAGTCCGTCTATATATTGTATGCTTACTGTGCTTTAAGCAGCAATTGTAGAGGGTCTGAACTGTGATTTTTCATTTAACACATCCTCATAGTTTGGGCATCATATAATTCTGAGGTTTATTGTTAGATTGATAGATAAGTGCCCCCTTAAATGAGCAATAGTTGATGACCTCTGCCTGTTGGTAAAAAGAAACTGACTAGTGATACAGTACAGTTGTTTGGGTAACCTCCACATAATAGCAGCTGTAGTGGCATCCAACCAGAGCTGTCAGATCACTATATAGGTGATGACACGTACATCTGTGTCATGGGGTTTGTTTTCTTTGATGTAATCCAACCCAGCCACTGTGGCCCATAATGCGTTAGCTGTGGACAGGTCTCACTTTGTGTCCCAGTTTCACAACCATGGGCTGATCCTAAATTAGCACAGTCCTCAAGTGTCCTCAGAGCCACAGTTGAACTCTTCCAATGCAAATTCACACTGTGCATGACGTTGGTTTATCTTGTCAATGCATGATGGCCAGCGTGTTTGTTTGTGTGTTTTTTTCCTTCTTGCAAGAGAAACAGAAGTAAAAACACAAACATACAAATAAGTGTATAATTACATCAGCTGTATCACATTTTTAACAGTCAACTGGTCCTGGTATGAATGTGGCCTTTTTTCATTTCCCTTACTTTTTTAAGGTAAACACAAGAAACTTGTGCTACAGAAAATGGACCAGACTCAGTGAATAGCTCCCTAAGCTTAACATCCTAAGTCCTATGATAACTATTAATTTAGCTATACAGACTAATGAGCAGCGATGACTAACATGTCTTTGGGGTCATCAGGTGGGAACCTCCTTTCACCAGTGTTTCGTCTAGTTGGTCCCACGACACCTCCAGGAGGCTAGACAGTGATCACTGGCGTCCCAGAGTCACTCCCCTAATGCCAGCCATCACTGCTCCTCACACCACGACTATTTTCTCCTTTATTTTGCCTATGCTACTACAAACAACACTATCATCAAATAGGACAAAACACACTAGCAGAGTCTTTACTAGTAAAGACATTGTCCAGTTATTTAGTTTATGCTCACTCTATCAATTTTATATATAAAATAAGAATAAATGAAATTAGAACTTTATGCATTATGTTTAGAAATTCATAATATAGATACCTGCATCATTACAACACACACATGCTTTGTTGTAAGAGGTCTTGATAATGCATTATGAGGTTTAATAGCAACAGTCATAAAATGTTACAAACATGAATCTGAAAACAGATTACTAAAAAATGGCATGTATCACAATTACTTATAATGACTGTATGTGTTATGCATAGAATGTAACAGTAATGTAATTGTAATGGGTGGAGACTGTGGATGGGTTATGGCTTGCTAAAATACCTTTATGTCTTCTCTGTGTCTGCTCCAAATAAAATAAGATTAGATTACATTTTCATGGGGTTTAAATATTTCGAAGTGAACATTTGTTTGGTGAAATAAATACAAATAAAATGAATAAATACAGAAATATCTTCATGATTTTCATTTTTATACAGAGCAGAGGAGACAGGCAGATTGGTCTGGGGAGTTTTGCAGTTACTCATTTGTGTATTTTGTGATGTATGAGGCACCTCAACATGTATGTTGATTGTACCAAACCACTATTCACACTTATATAGTTGTCTTTCCTCTGGTCCTCAACACATGTGATGGCCATATCTTGCATCTATAATGCGTAAAATCTCACATCACTTGAAGCAGACAATGAGCTGCCATGAAAATATCGGGCCATAACCACACTGTCCATTCAACATGATTATATGAAACAAGTGTGTGCTCATAATAACTTATTACCTAATATGACAAATGGGTCCATATGAAAAAAAGTGGACCTGTTAATCTGTTTGACAGATGCACATTCATTCATGCACATTCACAAGCATATATATATATGCACTCTGCAAGAGAGATAGTAATGCAGCCAGCCCACTTGTAAGTGTAACAAGACCCACCGCTTAAAAAAAAGGAGGGCTTCCATTGCAGTGGGTGGTTCATTCATGGCCAAAGTTCCTTGAAAATCCTACCAGCTTTGGGGGAGGTGGAATTAAGCAATGCTGGCGAGGGAAAGTTTTTTTCTTGACATGAGTTGTGCAGACATGACCTACATACATGCTGTTTATACGTGAATAAAGTGACCCAGACATAGCGGTGTTTCCCTTCATTTTTGATGCACACGACTCAAGCAAAGTCCTGATATGCCACTGTGCTTCTGTCAGAGATACATCACCTTGTGTGTTGATGTGGCCATGATACTACTGTCTACATTTTAAACCCTGGGAATATACCAACGTGGCAATATTTCACAACAGGCGGAGAAAAGTGCTACTCTCCTAAATAACTGCAAAAGAATACCCTCTTTAATTGAGGCTACATCCCGTCAACACTGTCTAAAAGGGGATTTATCGTGATGTCCACTGATAACACGGTATGAGAAATAAAATGTTCATGAAGACTGCACGAGCGTTAACAAAGTCCCTATTTGAGCACCGCAGATGTGAGTCCAAACACTGCGGGGACTTTTAGCCCTCTTCCCGGATCGTCCCTTGCTGGAACTCCGCCTCCACTTTGCTCGATTCGGTGGCAGAGCCCCAAACTTTCCAAGAAAAAAAAAAACTAGTTGAAACCGGGGTCTTGGCCGGACACATATAGCCTGCAGTCTGCAACTCCTCCTCTCTGAAGAGCAGTAAACATTTCTCTGGAAGAGGAGGCGCTTCTGCGGCTGCTGCTGTCGCTGCTCAACACTTCCCTTCTCACTTAAGTGCAAAAGTTCAAGAGTGCGCGGTGCATCTGGCTGGATCATGTTGTTGTGTTGACATGTTATGGTGATTGTGTCAAAGATGAAGTTGTTTTTTTTGAGTGTGCCTGCGCGTGCGTGTGCTGCAGCACAGATAAGTAGGGAGCACGTGCGTAATCCCAGTACAGAATGTTCCTTTCCACGTGTGGAGTATGAGCTGACGCACCAGCGCTGACCCCGCTCCCTTATATGATCACCCTCACAACCACAGGACAGACTGGAAGTTCCGGTCCAGTCAGCGGCCTCCTGTGTCAGCGCAGTCTGTTTATTCATGCAGAGAGGAACAGGAGGCAGTGCAGCGCAATGGCGACACAACAGTTAGCCTATAACAGGGCGGCGTGCAGCCTGTGGAGAGTTAATAACCCTGTGGCTGGTGAGAAATCACGAAACAGAAAAAAGTAGAGTAACAGAATCATATAGAAATTAATCGTAGGCAACATGCATGCAGAGGTGGAAAATAAAAAAAAGTACATTTACGTAAGGCGTGTAATTGTAGGCCACATGAGGATTTACATTTTATGTTACTGTAGGCTATACATACTGCATTTCAGCATACGGTTGTCTGTTGTATATGTATCTGTCCGTTACTTTACACACCACATGATCATTTTAATCCAGCTAAGTAAGTAGTGACTACTTTTACTTTAAATATTGTAAGTACATTTGCTGATGTACTTCTACCTAAATAGACTATTGAATGCAGGGTCTTCACTTGAAACATTTTTACTTAAGTTAAGGGACTTCTTCCAC